ACAGGGAGAAACAGAGACAGAGGGAGATAGCAGAGAGCTCAATGGCATTTGAGTCCTGGGTTCTTCTTGTTCTGGAGACATGGATGTAACCCTGCCTTTTTCTCAGTTTGTTCTTTTAAGTTCATAAAGAACACATTTTCGGGACTGTGGCTGTGGCTATGGCTCGGTTTTAGAACACTTGCTTAGCATGTGTGAGGCGCTAGATTCAATTCTCAGTACCACATATAAATAAATGTATAAAATAAAGATCCATTAACATCTAAAAAAAACCCATTTTCCTCTAAGCCAATCTGGATTTGTGTAACTGTCCATCAAGATCCTGACTAATACAGTTCATCAGTCTTGAGTTGGAGATAAATGGAGAGAGGGAAAGAGGTAAATTGGTGGAGCACCCCTCTATTACACCACTGCAGCTTCCTACCCATCTCCCCAGCTGCGGGCCATGCAGACCTTGCTGATAGTTGGCTGGTAAATCAAAATCCAGGGGGAGTAGTTTTACTTACCTGACCCCAAAAAGCACTTGCAGGAGAGTGCAGATGCCAGAGACAAAGAAGATGGTGCTGATCAGGTAGCTCTGAGTCAGGGGGTCATGCTGCAAACACAGATCCTTGGCCAGGATGAGTGGCACTGCTACCATTCCTCCCAGGGCTGTGAGGAAGTGCTGTGGACAGAGACAGGACATGAGTGTGTGAATTCTGTGACTATACCTAGTAAGAGTGCAACCCTACCCTTAACAAGGATGCCCTTCCCAGGTCCAGTCTCAAGAGCTTTGCAGGGGTCCAGCCATGAGTGAGGAGCAAACATCCAAACTAGGCATGGGAAACAGTGACCCCACCAGAGGAACTGGGCTGTGAGAGCAGGGCTCAGGAACCAGGAAGTGGTATCCTAGGAAAGAAACTGAGGCAGAAACACAAGCACAGGAGGACATAACAGAACCAAATGAGGGCCTAAGAATAAGAACATAGCAAGGGGCTCCTCACTCCATGACGCAACAGTGAGAGCCATTGACAAGGAAGGCCTGAGCATTCACTTGGAGCCACTGGCCCACGGCTGTTTGAGGTCTTCTGAAAGGACAGAGTTAGACCCAGAGTTCAGGACAGGACAGAGCTCATAGCTGATGGCCTCAGTTATGCAGAGGGTAAATTACAGGTAGATAAGTAGCAGACAGGAGATAAATAGAAGACAGTTAGAGACAGAGTACATACATAGACACCTAGCTAGAAGGAGAGGAGGAAGGTGTAGGGGGCCAAGCAACCAATACAGTGTATGAATGGGCCACTGTCTCACACACTCTAACTCCAGAGCAGAAACAATGAACAGGTCTTAAGGGGTTTTCATGGGCTGTGGTCATTTCTGTTCTGAGCCATACCAAGTGTCCAGTGTGTGGCTTCAATCCCCACACAGAGCTGACCATGAAGCCAAGTGTTCTGGCACATGCCTTTAATCCCAGCTACTAGAGAGGCTGAGGTAGGAGGATCACAAGTTCAAGGATACCCTCAGAAACTTAGAGAGACCCTGTCTCAAAACAAAAATAAAATGTAAAAAGGAATGGGGATGTACCTCAGTGGGAGAGTGAGCTCTGGTTCAATCCCCAGTGTCCACCAAAAAATCTGACCACTGAGCCAAATGTTCTGAGAACAAAGATGCATGAAGCCACCTGTTTCTTTCCTTTGCTCGGGTCCTCCTGATGCTCTGCTGAGCTAGGCCATGCCTCTGCTGGCATAGTCACAGGGCCTCCTGTTGTTGTTGGAATAACTTTCAGTTTCCAGCTGGCAGCTAGCAGCTATGAGCAGCTCGGAGTGCTTGAGGAATCTGCACTCGTTCAGGTCTGATAGGAAGGCCTGCAGGATGGGATGCTCTGCTCTAGGGAGTCGTTAGTGAAACCACATCCTTAGCACTTATGTTAGCATTGCCAAGCTGCCAGGCCAGGAGACTGATAGCCAGGAGCTTCCACATGGAACTTCTAACTTAGAAACCCCCTCCCTAGGGACAAAGACCCTTCCTGATGATAGCAATATTTAGAGCATCCTCATAGTGTGGTTACATTAGGCAAAGATGATTGGCTTATGGATACTATCTTGCTCGTGTATGATTGATGAGCACGCCCCACTCAGACCCTATAACAATTGTATGCATTCCAAAAATAAACTGAGCTACTGGACGATGACCTGAGGTGTGTCTCCAGCCAGTTCTCTCACCAGCTCCTGGAGTCTGTGTGTTGATTCCGCGTCCCTATCCCCCATGACAAGGTAGCGGAGCAAATAATGGACCAGAACCTCAGCATGTTGTGGGTGCTGATAGGATCCCCCTGATTTGCAGCAAATGTACCATTGCAGGTTCACCCAGTAGAGTGGGGTCTACCCCATCCTATAAGAATAGGGTCTAGGTGAAGGAAGGGTAGGCAGGCTTGGTTTGCTTTGGTTACAAAAGTTAGCTGCTGGGCCAGTCAAGGAATAAACAAGGAATGAGTGGAGGAAGAAAGGAGGGAAATTAAAAGCTCACTGTGAGGGGCAGTGCCTTGAAGTGTTCCCTCAAGGTGTCCTTAGGTGGAATGAAGACAAAAGGCCCAGAACACCTGACCCTGCCTGTCCCTAGCACTCCTCCTGTCCACAAAACAGCCAGACCTACACAAAAAGGAGGCAAAATAAGGCACATTCTTCTGTTCTTATTTTGTTGAGGTTTGATCCGAAATCTCAATGTGAGCTAAATTAGATCAGATAAAAATTAGGTTATTTTAAGAATATTAAGAAAAAACTGAAATCATCTATACACTGTGTGCGCCTATTTTTCCACACCCCATGTACCCTCAGGGAAAATGGAGTCTCAGAATGTGTACTACTCCAGCAGGACATGGGATTGGCCCTCTGAGAAGGATAGGAGGTAGGTGTCCACTGCCTAAGATGGGACAGGCCTGGGTGCCAGGAAGAACACTGGGCCACAGCACCTAGGGACAGGGACCCCCACATCTCTCCAGCCATATGAGTAGAAATAGCAATGGAAGGAAAATGGAAGTGAAATCCAAGGCCAGGTTTTCTTTAAGGGGACAGTTCCAGCTCCTGTCACCATGCTAAGCAATGTCTCAAAAGGACCAGAGGATTATGTAGTGAGGTTAATCCCTTCATTGAATGTTCTGGAATAATCCAACCAGTATGAAGAGCACTGGTCTTTAGCAGAAGAAGGTGGGATGAGATATGTGTTGGAAGTAGAGCAGACTTTGAACTCCCACTAAAAGAAAAGTCGCCTACTCTTCTTTCCTTGATTAACCTGAAAACTTCAACAAACCATAATCAGTGAGGGGTGAACTGCCCCTTAAGGAAGAGGAGTGGGGGCTCCTGAGAAGAAATGTCGATATATATGTAGGTGCCCTTCGACAATCCTTGCCATCACTCCCAAGTCCCTTTGGGATACATGACATGAGATGTCTCATCCTTCATGGCCTCTTATCAATGTTCTTGACCTTCCACCATTCAGGTCAATACAATACACAAAAATGTCCAAACATCGACCAGTGTTGCTGAGGGCCATTGCCAAGTAGGAATGACGCATCGAAATTTCCTTGCCAGCGTACCCCATGTTAAATGGATTTGCCTTAGAAATTCCACTGTGACATTGAATGTGTCTTTGAGAAAGGTGACCCTGCTCAAGGATCAGGGTGGATCCAGGTTTAAGGTGTATCCTGCAGGTTTTAGGAAGTATCCTGTTTTAAGATAATTTGGGTTTAAGGCGTTCCCGGTTTAAGACAATCTGGGTTTTAGGGAAGTTCCAGGTTGAAGGTTATTCCTGCTGGGAATAGGGTGTTCCTGCTGCCTGAGTTCTGCCTGAGTTCCCATTGAGTTGGAATTGAGAAAGTATTTTGGGAAGTGAATTGTGCGAGCAGAACTGGGATTTCCCCAGAACGTGTTTGTGTAGAGACCCGTGTGTGTTCGGGAATAAAGAATTGCTGTATGAATCTACAAGGTATGTGGTGGCTCGTAATCTTGTGCCCAGCCAAGACTGCGGCACAGTGTTTCATTTCCTACCTCATATCATGCCCAACAACAAGGGATGTCCACAATTATCAGGGATAACTCCGTCTTGTTAGCAAACAAATCTCTTTTTCTCCCTTTTCAGGGCTGATAACTGAACTCATCACCTACCTATATTCTAGGCAGTTGCTGTGCCACTAGGCAGGGTGGCACCAGGAAGCTGTTGAGCTTAGCCCTTCTCTGACTTCATCTACATGATGTAGACTTAACCAAGCCATTGACCCACTCCAGAGAACAATGGAATAGCCTGTGTCATTGATGTGACCAGTCAGCTCAGCATGAGGAAGAATCCTTTTCTGATAATACATTTCCATCCCCCAAATGCCCAGAGGGAGGGAGACTAAAGGGGATTGAGTTCCCCTGAAGGTCAACCATATGGAAGACATGATGCTAGCTGAAGTCGGTGGTGTTGACCAGTTTGACCTGGTTGTGTGACCTGGTAACTTGGGAGGCAGAGCCTCTTGGGACCTAGTGATTGCAGAGTGGCATTACCTGGATCCCCAAGAAGATGCAGAGATACCATGGTGGGATGTCCAAAATGCCATAGGCCAGGTGGCTACTGGGACTCTTAGACTGTCCATCCTTTCTTGTGACTTGGCCGTCAGTGTGAAAACTGAGCACTCCATCATCTGTCTGCTAGGAACAAGAGAAGGACACATGTGAGCATTTCAAGAAGAAACAAGAACATTTTCTGACTCTCATTGGATGGTAGGACAGCCGTCCCAGGGCCAGAGGCAGTGGGGCAGGGATAATGGTAGTCGGCAGGTGATATAAGATCAGACTCCACACCCTGAGATTTCCTATATTGTGCACGTGCATCCCAGCTTCTGTGTCAAGTCTGGAGCCATGCAAGGGGAGAGCAGACAGGAGGCAGCTCTGTGGGGGAGAAGGTGGTAACCTCCAGGTTAGAAGATGGTAGGTTCCCTCATGGTACTTTGCATGTGCTTCCATTGCCAAAGCCCTGTTCCAAGGGTATTTATCATAATGGATGGTTTCCATCCTTGTTCTTTCCTGGTTGTGAATATCAGGAAGAACTTACTGAAATTGCCTTCCTTGCCTTTGCAACCCCAGTCTCTCGTGCAGTTCCTGTGCTCAGTGTAGACAGGCTCACTGAATGTGACATGCCAAGGTAAAGGAGTGCAGTTCACACAGAAGGATCTAGTGTCAACAGCCAACTTGGACTCCCCCTGTTTTAACCAACATTAACTCTGAATTGTAGACCCTCTCTCCTACTCCTTGACTGTAGAGCTTACTAACCTTGGCCAAACTAGTAAGATTTTCAAGTCTCAGTTATTTTATCTCTATAAAATAATTAACTCCTCCCTCACAGATGGTTGAGAAAGTTAATTTAATTTTCCAGTACTGGGGATTGAACCCAAGGGAACTCTACCACTGAACTCCATCCCCAGACATTTTTAATTTTTATTTTGAAACAAGACTTTGAACTTGCCATCCTTTTGCCCCAAAATCCCCAGTGGCTGGGATTATAGGCATGTGCCACCTCACCTGGCTAGAAAATCATATTGCAGGAAGAACCACATAATCCAGGCCAGGCACAGTGAAACTACTCAATAATATTAGCTATGGTATTTATTAACCTCCTTAAATGGAAGGGCTTTGAATAGGGGCTGAGGCCCACAGCTGAGCATCTGACCATGGGTTGTAGGAATATGAAAGCATTGCCTCTGGTGTGGCCAGAAGTGTCAAGGCCACTAGCCTGAAGATCGGCCATTCTATGTGAAGTGTCCACAGGGGGACCCTGGTCCCTGGCCAGACCACGGGGGGCAGGGTCTGCACTCTTACAGGTATCTCATGGAGACATTTCTGGAAAGAATGTTGAAGTCATCCACTCCATTGCCCACCTCCATGTCCAGCCTCCAAGAACATTTCTGGAGTAGGGCCACATTGTGACACTGATAGGCTGGTGCTGGGCACCTTGACTCTATGAGCTCCTTCCTACTTAAAAGAATATTGAAATTATAATTGGGGACTACACAGGTATAAAGAGGAATATATTAACATAACAAAATATTTTCTGTGATCTTAAGTGTATTCACTTCAACTAATTTTAAAAGAAATGAAAATTTTGTCATGGGCCTCCAAAAGTCCTAAGGCCTTGGGAAAGGTGCCTACCCCACCCAGTGGATCTGTGATTCTGCTCTGCAGAAGTGGCAGTAGATACAGTGAGTTCACCACTTGTTTAGATGAGGTAGAAATCCAGAAAACTGCGAGATCAAAACCAGGGTGTTTGTCCCACATTCTTGAGGTCAGAACTGACCCTAAGGAACATTTTACAGAGCCCCCCTCCTTACCAGGGACTCCATCTCCAACCCTTCAGTTACTCAAGGTAAAACGTCAGTTACTCAAGCGAAAATATTAAATGGAAAAACTCCAGAAATAAACAAAATGTTTGTAAGTTTTAAATTGCATGCTGTCCAAATAGTGTGATGAAATCTCACACTCTCCAGCTCCATCCTACTGGGAAGTGAATCATCCCTTTGTCCAGCATATCCACGCATTATATGCTACCCTCTACTTAAGTATTTAGTAATTGTCTTGGAAGGCTATATGGATGATGCTTGGTACCTGGGTTGCCATGAAAAAAAATCTGTTTTCCAATTGAGGTTGACATTGGGCTAAATATAGAGAGGAATGGACTACAGGAAGTGGTGAACTTCTGGGAACTTCTCATAAGGGGTATGCAGGAATCTGTAAGGGGCAGCAGAGAAAAACAGACAGGTAAGAGAAGGAGGAGAAGGAGAGAAAAGATGTGTGACACAGGCTGATTGACTGATAATTTATTGATTGATTAACTGATTCTAGAAAAGTGACTCAGAGAGGTGCAGGCAGAATACAAAAGAAGTTGGACAGATGTGATTCTGTCACCTCCCAGCTCAATGACCCTCGACACATGACTTCACCTCTCCCAGCCTCAGTCCCACCATCTAGAATCTGGGATAGTCATAAAGGTATCAGAGTGTGAGCTTTGTGCTGCGTGCTGACACCACGTCCTGTGAGCCCACGAAGGAATGAGCTGTGGCCCCTACAGCTGTCTGTCCTCCCAGCGAGTTCACTTCATCTTCTCCCATGACCTCACAAAATTCCCAGGAAGGGGAAGGGCAAAAGGAAGAAAGAACCTTGACTGGGAAAACTGGTTGTAACCTGTCCTTTTTTTTTTTAACAGAAATGGAAGAGTGGAGACCAACATCAAAGACTGTCACCAGTCTGAATTCCCAAGTTCTGTCTTTATGTCAATACAGGCCACCTGTCACTTATGGAAATCACATCTGCACTGGCTTTAAAACAACTGTTTGGGAAATTGATTCTCCATGAAACCCTACTTGAGTTTTAAGTTTAAAACTTACAGCTGGGAAAAGCTTGTCTTCCATGAGGACACCTGGTTCTACCTTGGGAAAATCATATGTCACTGCCATGAAGCCATCAGCTAGTGTTAGGGGAAAGCACGGAGCCCCAGAATGACACCTTGAACTCAATGATACGTGCCTGTCTCCAAACACAATGGTCTCCCTCTCCTTTTGTGGCACTTAGTGCCTGTTTTCTCACCTGTTTATAAATACATCTTTTGTTGTAAACGTCCTTAAGTCACCCATAGAAAGATGTCTGCCATAGAAACAAAACCAGCAGGGACACAGTGGGACACAGTAGACTTGGAGTCTGAGTGTCAGGAATGAACCCTGAGCATCTTAGACATCCACAGAAACAGGGGAAACCTGTATTGCAGAGCAGGAATTCTCCAGTGGGGGAGAAAGAGGCCTCTTCTGAGGGCATTTGTGCATGTGACCCACATAGCAGCAGAAGAAAACCAGTGAGCCCCTTCCTGGAGGAAGAATGGATTCTTCATGAAGCACACTCCAACAACGAGCCCCGGTACTAAAGGATGGGCACCACAACCTCTTCACGTTGACAGTACATCTCTGTATTCCATATGTGAACTGTAATTTCACTGGAGGATTTGATACAAAGAGACATCTACTGAGCCTTGGTGTTTTATAGCACGTTACAAGTTACAAAGATCTTCCAGTGCATCCTCTCCTCTGAATCTCACAACCATCTCATTGTCTCCATTGACAGAAGAGGAGACAGGATCAATGAAGTCACAAGGTGTCTGCATAGTAATCCACCACATCCGCAGGTATGGAGGGCAGTTGCCCAAGGCTGTGGCCCTCGGGGTACTGAGTGGTCTTTAGCCTCCCAGGAGTAGAAGAACAAGCAAGAGGAGGCCCTGCTACAGTGGGAGCAGCAACAATCCCCCAAGTGAGGTTGGCCCCTTGCCTCTCTGACACCATGTGTACCTGACATAGCCATCCATTCCTCCCAGGGTCCAGACCCCACCTAACACTGCCGTTCACCTACGCTCAGATGAATTGTCCAGGTTTCTCCCACTGTGGCCTCAGCATCCCGCCTCAGGGTCCTTCCTTACCTGGTGCCCTGCTCCAAACCCACTGAAAAGGAGATGCACAGTTGCCCAGAACCACTGCTCTCCGGGTTCCTCATGGAAACCCAAACTCTAGGAAACAACACAGCCTTCAGAAAATGGAGGAATGGAGTCTCCAACTTAGCCCCCTGAATTTTTTTCTCTGAGAAAAATGGCAGAAGGAATCCTGTGGTGAGGCCATCTGCGGAGCTTTTATCTCAGTACCCCTCAGCTTTCTCAGAAGCGAGTACTGAGCACCATTTACAGAACGCTGACCAGCCATGGGCAGGGCCTGGCAACTGGGCTCCAGGGAACACTTTGTGAGCATAGCCCAGGTTCCCCAGGTTCCCCATGGCCAGTGTCCCCAGATCCCTTGGCTGTTCCTGGTTGGGGCCACAGCCCTGGCCTCCAGGAAGAGGCTCTTAAGGCCCTGCAGTGGGTGGTAACAAGAACACAGAGTTTCCTCTCAGGCCGCCCTGTTATTTCAAGTGGCCACCACAGGTTGGAAAGGGTGCTGGGGCTGGGGCTCTAGGACTGGCTGGAGAAGCCTGAGGATGCTGGACAGTGAAGAGCTACAGTCCCTCACCCTTCCAACAGGACCAGAGTGCCTGCAAGGAGGAAGCTCATTCAGACAGTGCCTCCAAAGCATCGCCCTCTAGTGGAAGTTCTTCCCTCTGATTCTGTCCTCACTCCTTCCCAAGCCTTGGAATCCGAAAAACCTTCTCAAAAGAGAAAGTCCAAGGCTGAGCACCCAGAAAAACATTCAGTTTCAACAGAGGCCTCCTGGAGGCAAAGGGAAAGCCTTTAGCATAGACTGAGCACAGTCGGGAAATCCAGCCTTCCTCCTCTTCCCACTGCTTCCTGCCACACACAGAGGAGTGCTCAGGAAAGTCTGTCTGCTGTGATGGTCACCTGAGGTGACAGGCCCTGAGGGAGCTGAGCTTGGAAGCAGGGAGGGAGCTACCATCCCAACTGATAAAATGAACCTGAGCAGCAGGACCCCCCTGGGACTCCCCAGCCTCCTTCCTGCTCCCCTCCCCCCCCATCTCCACCAGCACTCACCAAGCTGCCATCGTGCCCACAGTTGCTGACCCCAGAGTCCATGGCAAGGTAGGTCTTCTCCTCTGGCTTCCCCTGGGGAAGCAGGACAGAGAACACTTACCAAGAGGGGACACAGCTGCCAGACAGAGGGATTAACTTCCCAAAGCCTGACTCAGGGCAGAGGGCGGGGCTCCAGGAGGGAGGGGCATGCAGATCTGTCACAGACATCCCCTCCAGCCTCCTCCCTCAGGGAACCCAGGTGCATCCAACAGTGGCAAAGCTTTCGTAATTGATAAGTGCAACAGAGAAGTTAATGATCCCCATGGCACCAAGGACATAAATCAGAGCACATTCTGGCCAGGGCGTGGCAGGAGAGAACTCGCAGGAAACCAGGCTTCAGGAGGAAAGGGGGAACAGGCGTGGGAGGAGAACAGGGAGGTTGAGAAGTTTTCTAAACTGAAAATTTTTTTGAGCTAGAATGGAAATCATCACAATGATTAATGAAGGAAAGGCGATTATCTCTTGTCAGAGCAGCAGCTACCCAGGCAAGGGTCTCTCTGAAAGGAAAGGACAGGTGTCCAGGAGAGTGAAGGGACAGTGAAGGTCCGCAAGAGGGCAAGCAGGAGAAGGGTTACTTCAACATGCCCCAGCATGTCATAAAACAGTTTCTGTTCCTCAAAGGCATTGCTCTCCATCTGCAGGAGAGAAACAGTAATCCTGCCTGCACCCCTGCAAGAAAACTGAAATACCAGGAAGTAATCAAAAGGAGCTTAGCAACTTCTCCTTAGGTGCCTTTAAGAGAAGGAATGCTAGCCGGGCCTGGTGGTACCCACTTGTAATCCCAGCGGCTCTGGAGGCTGAAGAAAGTGGATGGCAAGTTGAAAGCCATCCTCAGCAACTTAGTGAGACCCTATATCCAAATAAAAAATAAAAAAGGCTGGGGAGGTGACTCAGTGGATAAGTACTCCAGGGTTCAATCCCTGGTACTAAAATAAATAAATAGATCCATCAATAGACAGATACAGGAATGCTGTAAGACTTAAAGGGCATTCATTTTTTTAAGAGAATTCTAGCCCCTTCCAGGTACACTGCACCAGGGATTCTGAGTGCTTCTTTCATTTCTCTTTTTAATATAATTCCTACTTATTTGTTTACCTCGGCATTTGCAGTATTCATTCTTCAACTCTCTGTAACATGAACCCTGACTCCTGCCAGTAACATCTTGGAAGCTCATCTGGGATCCTCAACCCCCCAGTGAAGTAAGTCATTTACTCCTGATGATCTTTGATTTCACTAGCTTTTGGAGGAAAACTGGGCACCCATCAGTCACTTAAACCTTGGAATGATTGCAACCATGAAAACTAGCATCTAAGGAGTCTCTGGAGGGAATAGAATAGGATTGGGATCAGAGCTTCCAAAAGTCCTCCCCCAGATAATTATCACTATTTAACCTGTCTAGCAGCTTCATAAAGGGCTCCTGTCTCAGGGTTGTCTTTATTTGATCTGACTCAGAACTTGATCTGTAGGAACGCCTTATCCCGAGAGAATTTGTTAAAAACAATCATCAACAATTGTTTAATAGGCAGTGCTACCAGTTGGGGTCTACAAGAAGCTGGTCAAAAAAAACTTAACAGGAAAAACTGTGGAACAAAGTTCTGTAAAGGACAATTGCAAATTCCAACATGGTTTATGGGATCTACAAGGCCACACAAATATGGTGCTGAAAGGGATCAAGGAGGATTGGATGCTCTCACACTAGAGGAGGGAGGAGAGTATTTCAGGGCAGAATCTAATTCTACTGGGGAAGGGGAT